CAGTCCATTCCAGTCCCTCCCAGTTCCAATTTTCCACCCCAAAACTCCCATTTTCCACCCCAAAATCCCCAATTTTCCACCCCAAAACTCCCATTTTTCCCATTTTTTTCCCCAGTCCCTCCCAGTCCATCCCAGTCCATCCCAGTTTATCCCAGTCCATCCCAGTCCATCCCAATCCTTCCCAGTTTATCCCAGTCCATCCCAGTTGATCCCAGTTTACCCAGCAGCCCCTGCAGGAGGTAGAAGAGGACCCCGTAGGCGCCGTTGGGGGCGTTGACGACGCTCTCCTTCCCCAGCAGCGGCTCCACCAGGCCCAGGCCACGCCCCCACCTGCAAAAGGGGCGGGGCCAACGTGGGGACACGCCCACAAAATTGAGGACACGCCCAGAAAACCATAGACACGCCCACAAACTGAAAGCACGCCCACAAAATCAAGGACACGCCCCCACCTGCAAAAAGGGGCGGGGCCAACATGGGGACACGCCCACAAAACCATAGACACGCCCACAAAATCATGGACACGCCCACAAATCCATAGACACGCCCATTAAATCAAGGACACGCCCATAAAATACGGGACACGCCCACAAAATCGGGGACACGCCCATAAAATTGGGGACACGCCCACAAAATCGGGGACACGCCCCCACCTGCAAAAAAGGGGCGGGCCCAATGTGGGGACACGCCCATAAAATTATGAACACGCCCACAAAATGGAGGACACGCCCACAAAATCAAGGACACGCCCCCACCTGCAAAAAGGGGCGGGGCCAACATGGGGACACGCCCACAAAATCAGGGACACGCCCACAAAATCGGGGACACGCCCACAGAACCATGGACACGCCCAGAAACTGAAAACACACCCACAAAATGGGGGACACGCCCACAAAATGGGGGACACGCCCACAAAATCGGGGGCACGCCCACAAACTGAAAACACGCCCATAAAATAACAGACACGCCCCCACCTGCAAAAAGGGGCGGGGCCAACATGGGACACGCCCATAAAACCATAGACACGCCCACAAAATCACGGACACGCCCACAAATTGAAAGCTTTTTTAAAAATTCCTTTTCAATTCATTTTAAATATTTTTTTGGAATTTTTTTAAAATTTTTTTAAATTTTTTTTTTTAAATTAGTTTTTTTAAAATTTTTTTATTTAAATTTTTTTAAATTTTTTTTTATATCTTTACCTCAACGAGAAGACGCGCGTACANTTTTTTTCTCTTTACCTCGAGGAGAAGACGCGCGTGCAGGACACGCTGGGCCCGATGTCGCACATCGCTCGGTACCGCGGATCCCGCGCGGCCTCGCGCTCCACGCGCAGCGCGTAAAGCGACAGCGCCGCTCCCGCCACGCACAGAACCGCCCTCAGCACCCCCAAATCCGCCATCATGGCCGTCGCTTCTCTTCCGGTTCATCCCTCGGAGCCTCCATCATGGCCGCCGCTTCTCTTCCGGTCCATCCCCCGCCCTGATTGGTCAGTTTGGAACAAGCCACGCCCACTCCGCGTAAATCTGAGCTGCCATTGGATAGCGCTGAGGCAACTTCCGCCCTTTTTCCGCGTTGTTGTCCCGCCCTGCGTTTTGATTGGATGGTTTTGCTGTCAATTATGGCGCTTCTGCGCTCTGATTGGTCAGTTTTGACAAAGCCACGCCCACTCCGCGTACTTCTGAACTCCCGCCTTTCCTCCGCTTTTTTCCCCGCCCTGCGTTTTGATTGGATGATTCTGCTGCCACTCCCGCCCCTTCTCCGCCCTGATTGGTCAGTGTGGAACAAGCCACGCCCACTCCGCGCCGTTCTGAGTTATGATTAGACAGCGCTGAGGGAACTCCCGCCCTTTTTCCGCGTTATTTCCCGCCCCGCATTTTGATTGGATGATTTTGCTGTCAATTATGGCGATTCTGCGCTCTGATTGGTCGCGCTTCTGCTACTTCCGCTTCTCTTCCGCGCTTACTGTCTTAAGCCCCGCCCCCTCCGCGTTTCTATTGGACAATTTCTCTGCCACTCCCGCCCATTTTTCGCTCTGATTGGCGCTCTCCCCGCTTTTTCCCCGCCCTAAATTATGATTGGACGTTTCCGCTGCCACTCCCGCCTTTCCTCCGCTTTGATTGGCTCTTCCTCCCGCCATTTCCGCTTCTCGCGCGGGGGTTGATGGGAGTTGTAGTCCCTCCCCCGTGAGGGAGCGGAAAAGGAAGGGGAAAAAAAAAACAAACGGCGGGAGCGGGAGGAAAATGGCGGCCGGGAGCTGAGTGAGGGGTTCGGGTTCGGAAACACCGAAAACGGTGGGGGAGGGGATGGAAAAGGTGGGGGAGGGGGTGGAAAAAGGGGGGAGGGGCGCGGTGACGTCACGGGGCAAGATGGCGGCGGCGTGAGGGGAGAGGGACCCCCAAAACCCCAAAAATTCACCCGAAAATGCCCAGAATTTACCCAAAACCCCCCAAAAATACCCGAAAATCCTCAAAATTCACCCCAAAATTACCAAAATCCCCCCAAAAATCCCAAAATCCCCGAAAATCCCCAAAA